AAAAAAAAAAAAAAAAAAACATCATAGTAAAATTAATACCTTCTCAGCTTCGCATTTAAGCTAAATAAGTAACACAATATATTGACCAGTTTAAAAGTTATTAGAGTTATCAAAACAAGCACCAAATCACTCTGTATATAAAATCATATATAATGTAAATTTCAATGAATTAAACTATGATTAGTTATTTAAAGATTTTTTCATTTAATTATAATAAAATTAATAAATTATTATGTATTTAGTAACTTTTGGTAAAACGCAGACGATATTATTTACTTTGAAATCTCTAACAATTACATGTAATAGAAGTTCATTTTAAGAATAGAAATACTTTTAAAAAATATGTCTAAATCATATTTAGTTTTAATTTTGGCATTAAAATTGTGAATTATAGTTAGCCATTAGTACCTAGAAACTTTTTTTTCGGAATAGGCAGCTCTATTACATTCAATATGCTACTGGATAGACATTAAGATTTACAAAAATCCTACTGGAAAATATTTGTAATTAATAATTGTAATATTATACTTTTACTTATAATATGATGTTATCATTTGTACATGTATGTCACATATTATGATTATACAAGATCACCAAAAAAGGGTTCTCTTATTTAAAATACAAAATAACCCTTTAATTATGCGATAAAATCTCCCTCTTGTAGAAATTATTTAGTAACGCCTACACGCAGGGCCCTCATTACAATTAACCAATTAGAATAGAAAGTCTCAGCTTAAATAATAATGTTTTATTTATATTGTTGTGGAAATAAATATCAAATAATATTTTAAATATTAAATTTTTTGATTATAATAATAAATCCAGCCCAACTCTAAATTTTATTTAATAATAAAAATCTATTGTGAGCTTTTCTTATTAGGTAGCTAGTCTCGTTGCTAATGTCTTTGTTTTAACAAACATCACGCCGGCAGACAGAGTTAAAGGTCACAATATTCCCAATTTAAATTTACTTAATATTAATTTTATTTGGCTAAGTGTATTGCAACTCTATACTAACTGGGTAGTTAGTCTCGTTGCTAATGTCTTTGTTTTAAGTACAATTTAATCTATAATTTCGAATCTCCAACAATCTATTGTGTAATAAACCATTAATAAAAATTAAATAGGAAAATTAATAATTAATAAGAGAAACAATTAATAATACAATAAATATTATAGANAAATTAATAATTAATAAGAGAAACAATTAATAATACAATAAATATTATAGACGAAACATTTAATTTAATTTATAATTTAATAATAAAAATCACATAATTAATATTTTAAGTAACCATTTATTTATTTATATATTTTATTTAATTATTTACTCATACCCCTACCATTTCACATCTTATTTCCTATTTCTTTTCTTTTTTATTTTTGGTTTATTACATAAAGAAACTTTCTTTATCATTGTTATTATTTTTTTTTATAAGGAAGGGGGGGTAATGGAGATACTTACCTCCCTTGTCTCTACTGTTTTACCTAATTTATTGATATGAATAATTTAAAAAAAAATGTTGAAGTAGAATATTAAAATATCATGAAAATCAGAGGTTATTTCATAAATACAACATTTTTTGTATAATTTCGGGGTCCGCTTACATATATAAAACAAATCTTCTGTATAAAAATTTCCAAAATTTTTTTTTATTCTAATTTTGTAAAATAAGCTATAATTTAACATATGCTTAAAGGACGTACAATTTTCAGAATATTATCAAAAGTTAAGTAGAAAATGTTAACATTTCATTCAAAAGTTACATTATAAATCCCATTGTAATCAGAGGGAATTTCAAAGATAATATGCCTAAATTGAAATATCTCTTCTATCATTTTTCAAAGCTTTACGATAATTTTTTTAATAATATCAAATTTAAATCAATCAATATAAAAATTTTAATTTTTTTGTATAAATAAAATTTTAATATGACATAATGAAATCTGGTTATATTTTCAAATAAAGTGTTTCCTAAGGAGGTAAAATATTTTAATATACTATACTATATAAGAACAATATAATCTCATTTAGGTATAGAAGCTTGTGACAATTTATTTAAATTATAATAAAAATAGTCAACTTAGATGAGTAGATATAAAAAAAAAAGATATTACAACAGAAAACTAATCAAGACAGCCATTTTCAGAAGCATATAAGATTATATCAGAATGACCATTTTGAATAGCTTTATAAATGGTGCCTCTACTCCATGGACAATGATTTTCATGGGCATATTTTAAACAACGAAATTGACCATTTGCAGCAGCAATTCTTGTAGTGCCCTCGTCCCATTGACACTTATTTTTGTGAACATATTTTAGGCAGTTTAAGTGACCATTTGCAGCAGCTCCACTCTTTGTTCCTATATCCCATTTACAACCATTTTCATGTGCATATATCAAACAATTAATATGTCCACTAGCAGCAGCTTCCCTTGTTGTTCCTTCGTCCCACTTACAACCATTTTCATAAACATACTGTAGGCAGTCTAAATGTCCATTTGCTGCGGCCCCTCTCGTCGTACCTTCAACCCAACTACATCCATGTTTATGAGCATATTTTAGGCAATCGATATTACCATGCATAGCTGCTGCAGCTATTGTATCTCCATCCCAAGGACATCCATTATCGTGTACATATTTTAAAATATTAATATAATCATTCTGTGCAGCTATTTTTGTTGTTGTTGCATCCCATTTACAGCCATTTTCATGTGCATATTTTAAACAGTCGAAAGAACCATTCGCTACAGCAACTAAAATTGCGCCATCAACCCATTCACACCCATTTTCATGAGCATATTTCAAACACAGTAAATTATCATTTGCAATAGAGTTACGTATAATACTGTTACTCCAAATACATCCATTTTCGTGGACATATTTTAAACATTCTAAATTACCACTAAAAGCAGCTGCTTCTGTTGTTCTTACATTCCACGGACATCCTTTTTCATGTGCATATTTTAAAATTTTTATATTACCATTTTGTGCAGCTATTCTTGTAGTACATTCATCCCATTTACATCCATATTCATGAGCATATTTTAAGCATTCCAAATTACCACTAGAAGCAGCTGCTTCTGTTGTTCTTTCATTCCACGGGCATCCATTATCATGTGCATATTTTAAAATTTCTAAATTTCCTTTATACGCAGCTTTTGTTGTTGTTCTTTCATCCCAAGGACATGCATTTTTATGAGCATAATTTAAGCAGTTTAAATTGCCATTAGAAACTGCTGCTTCTGTTGTTCTTCCATCCCACGGACATCCATTTTCATGTGCATATTTTAAAATTTCTAAATTTCCTTTATACGCAGCTTTTGTTGTTGTTCTTTCATCCCAAGGACATGCATTTTTATGAGCATAATTTAAGCAGTTTAAATTGCCATTAGAAACTGCTGCTTCTGTTGTTCTTCCATCCCACGGACATCCATTTTCATGTGCATATTTTAAAATTACTAAATTTCCTTTATATGCAGCTTTTGTTGTTGTTTTTGCATCCCATTTACACCTTTTTTCATGAGCATATTTCAAGCATTCCAAATTACCACCATAAGCAGCTGCTGCTGTTGTTCTTTCATCCCATGGACATCCATTTTCATGTGCATATTTTAAAATTTCTAAATTTCCTTTATACGCAGCTTTTGTTGTTGTTCTTTCATCCCAAGGACATGCATTTTTATGAGCATATTTTAAGCAGTTTAAATTGCCACTAGATGCTGCTGCTTCTGTTGTTCTTCTATCCCACGGACATCCATTTTCATGTGCATATTTTAAAATTACTAAATTTCCTTTATATGCAGCTTTTGTTGTTGTTTTTGCATCCCATTTACACCTTTTTTCATGAGCATATTTCAAGCATTCCAAATTACCACCATAAGCAGCTGCTGCTGTTGTTCTTTCATCCCACGGGCATCCATTATCATATGCGTATTTTAAAATTTCTATATTACCACTTTGTGCAGCTGTTATTGTTGTTCTTTCATCCCATTTACAACTATTGTTAATAGCATATTTTAAGCAATTTAAATGACCTTTAGTAGCAGCTGCTTCTGTTGTACCTTGATCCCATGGACATTCATTTTCATGAGCATATTTTAAGCATTCCAAATGACCATTAAATGCAGCTGCTTCTGTTGTGTTTTCATTCCAAGGACAGCCATTTTCATGTATATATTTTAAAATTTCTAAATGACCACTTGAAGCAGCTGCTTCTGAAGTGTTTTCATCCCATGGACATTCATTTTTATGTGCATATTTTAAGCATTCTAAATGACCATTAGTAGCAGCTGCGTTTGTTGTACTTTGATCCCATGGACATTCATTTTCATGAGCATATTTTAAGCATTCTAAATGACCACCATATGCAGCTGCTTCTGATGTTTTTTCATTCCAAGGACAGCCATTTTCATGTACATATTTTAAAATTTCTAAATGACCACTCGAAGCAGCTGCTTCTGAAGTGTTTTCATCCCACGGACATTCATTTTTATGTGCATATTTTAAGCATTCTAAATGACCATTAGTAGCAGCTGCGTCTGTTGTACTTTGATCCCATGGACAGCCATATTCATGTGCATATTTTAAACATTCTAAGAACCCATTAGCAGCAGCTTGTCTTGTTGTATCTTTGTTCAATACGCATCTATTTTCATGAACTAATTTTAAATATTTCAAATGAGCAATATCAGTATATTTTGTCTTCTTACAGTTTTCAAATTGTCTTATTTCTTCGTCATCCGAATATTCAATTGCTAAATGTGCATATGTTTTTAGTCAGTTTAATTTTTATCGAAAAAGTCATGAAATAATTAAATCCTCGTATTACAAATAATAAATCATATTTTAGTTATTCTTCCATTTTCGATTAATTAAAATATTGTATGTATATATTGTTATTTAAAAAAAATTGATATATTTTATAACATAAGGTAAAATTGAAGGAGTTTTGTATTTATACATTTAAAATAAATAGTAATAAAAAATAAAATAAATTACGCAGTAAATTTTAATTACAATAAAAAATGTTTGTACTTTTTTGGCGTTTTTTAGATCTGTATGATATATTATAATAAATTATTCAAATATATTTTAATATGAATAATTATTTTTTAATATTATTTAAATAACATTGTTTCGAATTTTTAATTTAAAAAAAATGTATTCAGATTATTTTAATGGCGTATATTATATATTTAAGCCTAAGAAATTATAAAATAATAAATATTTATTAATTTTTTGCTCATATAAATTTGGTTTTTTAGATATATTATCGCAAATAATTAGCAATATTTTATAAATTGTATAAATCATTATAAAATAATTGAATTCATTATTATTTAAATAATCTTTAACTATCATTATTTCACATTCAAACTTTCTATAATTTCTTTAGATACATGTTTAAGCTCTGAGAAAAGCTGCTAATATCAATTTTCCATTTTATTAAAGTACTTTTAAGAAAAATTGATTAATTGACTTTTGTTAATACACTCAAAACAGAGTCTTATCATTGAAACTCACTGTTTTCAAATATTTTCAATCTATGTATTTTAGATGATAAATTAACAACAGATGCAGTACTGTAAAAGGTGTAGTAACCTTTACCAGTACTAAAACATTACTGGCGTATGTATGGGATGATAACGTATTTTCGTACTTTTGAGCTTCAAGTAGATAAAACAAGACTTAATTTTTTCACTAAAATAGATGTATATATGACAATTTTAATAGTACGGAAGAAATAAAAACCGTTATTTAAGGCTTTTCAAAAATTTTATCAAATGAAATAACTTTTATATTTTTCTATTATTATTTCGTAAACGGCTTGCAATCGAAGAAAGGTAAATATTGATTTTTTTCTACACAATTTTAGTAATTTTCGAATCGTTTTTACCTACATTATTGACTTTGTTACAAAACTTTAAAGTAGAAGTATAAATAAGTAAATTATACAAACTAAGCTTGGACAAGAATGAATTAAGTTAAACACCTTTTTTTTTTTACTTAATAAAATAAAACATGTATAGCGATTCAATAAAAATAGAAAACAATTTTTGGATAAGTAAAAAAAAATATCATTAAGGGTGAAAGAATTGATTATTCCGGGCGGCTCAATTCCTAAATGTGGCATTGATGACGTGGCTTATTATAAAACGTATCATTATTATATATAAAAAATGAAATCAGTGATTTATAATTCTTAAAAAGTGTTACCAAATGAAATATTCTTTACATTTTTCTTATCATTTTTTTATAAGCGACGCGCATTTAAAAGAAGTTCAAAAAAATTTTTTTTCGCTTCGATATTTTTGTCTTTTATGAAGATCAAGAGAGGGGATTAATTTTTTTTTTTAACCACTTAAAAGTGCATGAAAATATTTTTTGAACAAAACTAATTGATAAATCTTTTGAAAAAAACATGATATAATTTGAATAGTTAATACACGTAAGAGGCATAATAATGCAAAATAGACTTTACCTTCAATAAACATCAAACTGGAAATTAGTAACAAAAAAGATGTCAATGGCCAGTTCTAAAATAAAATAAAATAATAATTTAATCGAGCATTTCATGATAAGTGTATTACTCACCGCCATTTTTACTCAAAGTGTTTAATTTTGAATAACTTATGATAATCTTTTTATTACATGTGTGTATATATATATATATATAAACATAATTTATTATTTTTTCATTTTTCAATTTAAAAAGAATATTTTAAGTAAATAAAAATTAATTATTATTTTTAGTAAAACTATTCATATTCATGTAAAAAACACTACCAAATCTGGATTGTTATAAGTTTTTTTTTCTTTTAAAATAAAGGAGAATTATTAACACAAATATTATTTTATCTTGATAAAATAAACTAAACTTTAATTTGCAAATTTTTATGAAAAAATCTTTATTTAATGATGTTTTTCATAAAAAGTCCTTGTATATAAAATGTATTTAAATTAGTATGCAATTCTTTGCATAAGTAATTTTTTTTTTTTTTTATAATGTGCAATAACTTGCAAAGAAATTATTTTTTTTAGTTATAACCTAGTTGTACTCTACAATTAATTTTACTGATCTTTCTGTAGTATTGTTTATAACTTTAAAATTAGTAGTATATAAATAGCCGGTTTTGTGGATCAAAGGATACCGCCGTGGTAATTAGTGTAATACGTCATCAAAATGTAATAAATTAAGAGTGTTAATGGGTAATTAAATAGTTAATTTAAGTCAATCGTAATTGGTTAAGTCGTAAATCAAGTGTATAATTGTTAGAATTGCGATAATAATGTTGGTTAGCGGAGGGTAGGTGGTCAGCTGAGTCGGTGTTTTGTCGTTGTTGGTGTGACGTATGCAGCAACGCGTGCCCCTCGAGCAATAGCATCACACGTGTTACGTCATATTATCGCACTTAAGGTCGATACATCATATACAATAATGTTAAAAACTCTGCCCTGCCTACACCCTCCCCCGATAATGTACGTCAACCGGCGATATATTGTGAAATTGATGTCCGTCAACGCCTAGTCGTCGTTGTCGTCATCGTTGGTGTAGACGGAGTATAAGCCATAGGTCGTGTAACCCATAGATGACGCCTCATCCGTTATCGAGATTCAATTGTCTAACACATGTTTGGAAAGGATGGGGTCGTGCAGCAACAACATCATATGCTGACTACTAATCGGTTCTCAGTATTTGTTTATCTATTGTGCGCGTAAGATGGATTATTTCAATAATATATCGGATATGTTGAATTTTCTTGTTGAAAACGATCCGACAGATAGAGTTTTTAAACGACTCAGTAAATTATTGAGATTTGCAGTATTTTACGGAACGTCTATGCGTTTAAGCGATAAAGTCAACGTTACCGGTGGAGACTTTTTACATTACGAAGGTTGTGAATTATCGGATGCAGGAAAAAATTCGGACAATCCTGAATGTGCATGCTTATATGTGAATAGAATATATTACGAGCTTTTGGATTTAATCGGAACATTTGAAAAGACGGTGAATACAAATCGCAACGACAGTAAGTCCTATTATTGTGGGACGGTGTGACCGAGACGGTAGTTGACGCGCACTGCCTGAGTTTCGAAACTTGATCACGGGCGGCTTCTTTTGCCGAACGAGAGATCAGTTCGGTAATTGGAGTTGCCATCCTATTCTCCGGCGACGGATTAACCACCCGTCCCGAGTATAAATGGTTAAGAAACCTTCTCTTTTGGGGGAAGCCGCTATGACCTTTAATGGGTTGATAAAAAGCGTATATAAAAAAAAAAAGTAAAGCCTATTGGATGTCGAGACTTTAATCACAATGGCTACATCAAGGAGTAAATTTTTTAAAATCAACGACTTGATCAATTCATCAATGTATAGAATCTTACAAATGTCTCGTGTATACATTGGTCTGGACCCGGACAATTCATTTTAGCAAAAAATTTATGTACTATCAACAAAATACCTTCAATTGATATTAGCGACCATCCACTTTGCTTGTTTATCATATCTTGTTTTTCAGATTACTTTAATTTTTTCTATTACAGATGTAAAATCAGTTTCTAAGTCTACGATTTTATTGTGTGACTTGAATGATACGTCTTTGAACTCACCAATTACAGTATAAAAGTAAGTTATGTACAGTAAAACATTGAATTTTACCATAACCTTTATAGTTGACATTTTCAATACTAAATAATTGGTTCAATAATAAAATTTCATGATTTTTTTCAACCATGAAATCGACGATGTCATCAACGATTGTATTATTTTTCATAAAAAAACACCTTTTAAACCTAATAAGCCCATACACTGTTTTTATCGTATTTGAGTCCGAACTATATGTTCTAAAACACTATTTTTTAGGTTTTTCCTACAGTGTAATAAATTGTTGGTCTATGATTCAAATTATGAAGTTTTTGAAGACCATCGATGTCCGCAAATATTGCGCCACAACTACAAACTGTATCAAACATCATTATTTATACAACTAAATAATGAAAAATGCATATTTTTTGAGTTAGAATAACATTTTCAAATTTGATATTTATCTCATTTAGATTTAATAACTTTAATAAATATAAAGGATCCTATCACTATATTCTCTCCTCGTGAGAAGAAATTTATATTCATATTAATATTATTTTACTATGTAGTTCTTTTTGTGGCTACGATTTATTTTGCCAACCCTCACTAGACCTACTTTTCCAACAATACGTCAAATGATTACAATTCGTATTTAGTTTAAGTTATTACTCTTAAAAATCGAAAAAATATTCCTTATTCAAATAAAAAGTAGCTTAACCAGCTTTTTCCATACAAATTATTAAAATCATTAATTTCTAATATTCTTAAAGTATTTAGACTTACATTTGACATGATAAAAGTATTCAACTACAAAAGTAAATAATTTTACTTTGTAATTTATTAATTTTTTAACTCTATTTGTGGGTGCTACTACCAGACTATAATATTCCAAATTTTTTTGTAACATGATGCTATATAAATCATTAATTAAAAAAAAAATGATTTTCAGTTTCACTTGAATTTAACCTGAATTTTCAGTTCGAAGTGATTTTTCGAGAAGTAGTACTGTATAGATCCATATTCAATCTAAGCTAGTATTGTAACTGTGTATATAGTTATTAAACTTTTTTTTTAAGTTCCCTGTATATTTTGTGCTACATTTATTTAATTGTATATTACTATTTGTATTCGTTCATAGAAGGATGCAATAATTTTTAAATTCTTTTTCAGTTAAAAGTGATATATTGTATAATATTTAATCCCACTTAAAATAATCAAGAAGTTTTTTTTTTTGGTGGGGGGTTTTATTTTTGGCCTTTAAGACCATCTCATACAAAAAATATTCCTACACCTCTCTCTGTGTTCCGTTATTTTCCTCCAGTTAGCTCCTGGATCCACTGTTCCAACATTTTTCTTCACACAATCTTCCCATCTAAGGCGCAACCTGCCTGTTTTCTATCAACTCCTCTTCAATTACTGCTTTTATCATTGTGTCTTTTTTTCTCCAAACGTATCCAGTCCACATTAACGTTCTTTTTACGGCTTCCCTTGATATGCATAGTTTTTGGAAGAGGTTTTAGAGGTTCTTATTGGTTCGTATTCTCCATTCTCCGGTTCGTGGATCAAGATAAGTTTATAAATTCGTCCTAAAAACTTTTCTTTCAAAAGTATCTAATCTTACTTCTGCTTTTCTTAGTGACTGTGTTTCTGAGCCGTACAGGATGATGAGGCGTATTAGTGTCTTATACATTTTAACTTTTAGATTTACAGATATCGATCTCGATTTTAGCAGTATTTTAGCTCCAAAATAGCATTTGTTTGCTAATTGATCTTCTTGATATCTCCATATTTTATTCATTGTCTATATTTAAGAGAATGTCTAAGTATTCAAATTGTGGTACTCTGTAAAAGATAAATTCTCCCACTTCCACACTCTCTTCTCTTCGATACATCCTATCTCTTTTGTTAAGTTTCATATATTCTGTCTTTTCGTCATTTATTATATGACCGACTTTACTCACAGCATCCATTAGCTTCTTACAATGTTTCTTCATTATCTCTGTGTTGTCTTCATCATGACAATATCATCTGCATATGCCAGCGGGTCTTTTTTGAACTGACCTTTGTTATGCCTTCTGATATGTTCATATCTCTTATTATCTTTTTCAGTACTAGGTTTAAAAGAATCTGAGAGAGTACTTCCCTTTGTCTCAAACCAGTGGCTACATTAAACGATTGAGGTGTAGAACTTGAAATTAAAATTTTTATCTCAGAATTTTCTATGCTGGCTTTAATGAGATTGATTAGTTTTTTTGGAAGGTCGAATTCCTTTAATATATTGAATAGGTTCGGCCTATGTATAGAATCGTATGCTTTCTTGAAGTTAACAAACAATGTGTATACCTCCTTGTCATTCTCCCACATATTTTGGACCTGTAATAAAGATTTGGTTTGTGGTTGACCTGTTTGGTCTAAATCCTCCTTGGTAGTCTCCCAAAATTCTTTTGGCGATCGGTTTAATTCTGTCTAAGATGCAATACGGCAACACTTTGTATGTCATGTTGAGTAATTCAATGCCCCTATAGTTCTTTCACTTTAGCTGATCGTCCTTTTTGTGTATCGGCCATACTAACGCGATTCTCCAATCCTCTGGGATCCTTTCTTCTTTCCATATCAATTCTATTAGGTTTTCTATATCTCAAATGGATTCGTCATCCAGACTCTTTAAAATTTCAGCCTGGATCCCATCTTCATTGGGACTTTTATGATTTGTTAACCTCTTAATTTGTTGTGCTATCTCAATTCCAGATGGTGGAGGGTATTCTTCTTTATTGGATTCTTCGTCATTTCAAGCAAATGAATCTATGGATCCTCACAATTAAGAAGGTGTTTCGAAGTAGTCTCTCTATTGATCCAGAATATCATTTAGATCTGTAATCAGCATACCATCGCTATTTTTAAGAAACTTTACTTGTTTCTTAAATCCTTTTCTAATGGTATTGATATTTTGGAATAGCTGGCGTGACCTATTCATTTGATGGTATTTTTCTGTTTCCTCTAACGTGTTCTTGTTATATTTCCCTTTTTCGTATCTGATTATGTTGTTTACTTCTTTTTTG